GCAATTCGCCGCCGTTCTCCATTAGCAGACCAACGAATCCATTAATCCTTCTCAATCAAGAAGTGATAAAGTAAAACGATATCCTTTGTTAGACAGTCCGCTACCCTCTTTTACTTCGCAGAAAGAGTGAAAGAGAAACAAAAAAAACCGAACACTCTTGAACGAAATAAAAACCAAAGAAACATTCGAAGCAAGTGCATGGCAACATATAATCAAAAGAGCGAGAGAGGGAGAAAAAAATATGACAAAATGTTATGTTGTATCAGTGCCGCAGCAATGTAGCCATTGATGTCGAATTTGATTTAGCAAAATGACCATCACTTGGGATTGAACACATGTTCAACCGCACGGAAATGTTGATAATTGAAACAAATGCAAACGCAATATGTGTGCGACCAAGTTATCTGAGCACACATTTTAGCTGCAGCACAGTCAAAGCATACGTAAAACAGCGCAATGCCCTTTGGTGCAGCACTCTTTACGTGTGTTACATCCTCTTCATTTGCACCAAGCACAAAGCTAAATAGATAACCAACAAAAAAAGACGACGTGGCTAGCAAGATACAGAGATACAAAGAACGAAAGATAGAAATAAGAAGAAGAAGAAGAAGAAGAAGAAGAAGAAGAAGAAAAAAACGCATGCACAAACGAAAAGAAAGCTCTTTGTCAGTTTCTTCTCGAAATTATCCACATCGGTTCCGTTCCTTTTCATTTTCTTCGTTTTCATTTAATGTATATAATTTATTTTGTTTCGCAATGCATCTAATGTTTCTTAAGGTTAAAGCTCCGCACAAAGTATTTCAAGGATATCTTCCTTAAAATTACATTCTTTATAATTTATAATATCAATCAAGAATGAATGAACAAGATTCGTTGGAATATTTAGCCAGCGTAAAATCTCATACCCACATCTCAAAATCTAACATTTAAAATGAAGAAGGAGAAAAAAAGATAAACAAAGTTACGACCAATGGAATGTAGAAGAGGGTGTGAGAGTGAAAGAGAGACGAGAACACACTGACACAAATCCAAAATCGAAAGTAAAAAAAGGAGATAAAAAAAAGTGACGCAAACTGAACTAGTTTTTATCCATTTGAAATTGAGAATACACAACCGGAATATGTGTGTCATGTCAAATATATTAATAAAAGTGCATCGCATTCCGAGCATTTGCTACAATTTCTTTTCATCAATTTCGCTAATTTCTCGCATGAAATGGTTGCTTAGGTGTAATGCATAAACAAATATCAACGCTCTGTTCGCATGATTCCAAACAATATCGATGGAACTTAGTGAAATATGCAACAAGCGCGCACTCAATTTACATGAAATGAATGGCATGAGAACGAACTTGCGGGTTCCATGGAAAATGTCAAGTATTTTGACTCAGCTTAAGGATGAGATAGAATGAAAATTGAATGAAACATAACTATCAAAGTGTGCACTTACCTACATACGATATTACATTCAATTCGTTTATAGCATGTGATTTTAGATTTGAAATCTCCGGTGCATATTGTTTTCTTTTCTGTTGTTGTTATGTGTATGTGTGTCATAAATCCATTAATCCCCCTCATATTTATGCTTGTATCGTGTCCGTGTCCGTGTCCTTGTTCGCAATTTCAAGAAATACTTTCGACACAGTGAGAGAAAAATGCTGCAGAAATTTGCTTATATTCTCCTTGTGTTATGGTAGCTTGACACATTTTCGTCATTTTTGCTGCGATTCGATTATCACTCACTTGTGTATCATTTGTCAGTTTGACCCATCCATCTGTTGTGAACATATATACATTCTGCGATAAAATTGCGCTGAATCATTCCGTAAACTTTCCTAAATGTCCTTCATTCGCTTGGTACGATGGAGCTTGATCAATTTTGATGCTCAACTTTTTGAGTAAATTGCTTTTGTTTTCGTAAATTGAATCAATTAATCTATTTGTGTGTGCGTTCGTTAGGGGACTTCAAGAAGCTTTATGACCTATTCGTGTTTATTGCACGTATGCTCACCTGAATATTTGCTGAAGCTTTGGTTTATCATCTGGTTTGTGCAAACCGTTTATTCCGATCTGATGACTGACCTACTGAACGCATTGCATTTGTAATCACAGACGTTCTTTTTTCCATAAAATCAATTCAAAATCAATATAGCTGCATTCGGATTCAACAAAACGCCGGTACATGTCCCGTGATAGCTGTGTGTGCCCTGAAAGCATTTTATTCTGCTAATAACAAAATTACCTAAAAGCAAAAAAAAATTGAATTAAATTCTATTCAAATATACGATTGAGCAAATAATTATTAGGAGTTTTCCGAGGGGCAGATCACTCAAAAGTAATTGCATTAAAAAGAAGTAATTGCATTGGTAATTGCAAGAAAAATGTAGTAATTGCTGATCAACAATTACTTTCGCAACTACTTTTTTTCTCGTGCAATTACTGCTAAATTTTGCAATTACTATTTTGAGTGATTTGCCCCACGGAGTTTTCTTTTGCTTTTTCAGTTTGAATGAGCTGATTCATGGAAATTTGTATTTAAATATCACATTTGTCATCAACAGGTGACAAAAAGTGTGACACAAAATGAAATGAGTTTCGAATTCATTAATGAGAACTTGTAAAAAGAGTGTAATATGCACCCAATAAACTTTGATGTTAACTCGTGCATGAAGTGAATTGTATTGTGTGAAAATGTCTTTATGCTACTTTCTGCACCTTCTCTTTTGCTAGATTGGCCATGTTTCAGATCATTTCAATGTGATTTGTGCATTTAGCAAAGTACTTTTTACTTTGACTGGTGCTCTTTAATGGGTCGAAAGTAATTTCGTTCGCACATTACATTCAACTTGTTTTCATTTCATTTCATTCTATTCCGTCCATTTTAATCAGAGCATTGAATGTGTACAACATGCACAACAGCAAGCAAACCACCGACAATGGAAACGCAACGCTACGCTATACCATGACTCGGTTTTCCGAGTACTCGAATCGCTGTTTTTTTTTCTATCACTGAACAAATATGATATTATAAGCTTCATACGATGCAACATTTCAAGGCAAGGTGAAAGTTCATGTCAGTGTAAAATCGTGGTTTGGTTTGGTGCCATTCACAATTCATGTGATGATGAAATCACACAAACACATACGGTAAAGCGGGTAGCGGGTGAGCCAATTACATTTTGGATAGTAGCGATTATAAAAATGAACCATAGCAACGAAAAGAACGATGACTTTTTGACAGAGAAATGATGATGAAATGTGTATCAATTTATATAACGTTCGAATGAAATTGAGCACAATCAATGAATATTTCAATGAATTCATTGCATTCGAGTGATATAAAAACAATACATTGACATAAACGCCTGGTTTCTTTCTTCCGATGTGTGCCAAAATAAGCATTTGGGTTCGGTACAGTCGAGACGACACATTCAATATTTGCCATAAGAGTGTTTGCGACGCAACGCCAATAGAATGCCAGTACCGCTGAATATTAGGAGAGGGGTTTGTAAGTTGAACATAGCTTTAGCTTTATTATCAAGCGAATACCAAAATCTTCAAAGATGTGCCGAAATGACTTCAGAACGTTAGATTTTCTGGAGATTAATATAGTATTATTTACATTTTTTATGTAAGAACCTTAAGTAATGGGCTATGAAAAAACTGTTGTGAAAGGAAACATTTCAAATCTTGGTAAAAAATTCTTATTTTCTACGAATCACTTTTTTTAATGATGCTTGGCCCTTTCCGAAGTCATTTCGGCACATCTTCTTAGTTTTGCACATTCATCTTTTGTCCTTAGCTTTCTATAGAATGAAGATGACATCCGTTGGAAAGAAGGATGTTAAAAACTACAACTTTGTCGAACAAACTTATTTGATTTACTTAAAAAAAAACATTTTCACAAGCCCCCAAAGGCATGAAATCGAGAAAAAAAATTTGGCAAGTTTAGCCACCCAGAAAAAAAATCAATTAACACTGCTGCGTTGTTAGTGTCCATGTGGACCCTCTTTTATCTCAAAACTTCGTTTTTTCTTTGAAGAATCACCTTCACAAAACTGATTTGCAAAAGACTTGAATTTTAATGAATTTTCATGTGTTCTATCAATTTTAAATACAAAGATACGGATACGAACGCTTTGAAATGGATTCATTTTCCATTTCAAACATTGGATAATTATCAAAAAGGCATCAAAATACGGACTTAAGAAAAAACAATGGCATTTAAATTTTCAGAAGTGGCTCAACATACATTCCAAGTGAGCTGTTTCTGAAGGATATTTTCGCTCGAAAATAGCATCAAAAGTAAAGTTCATTTGTTCAATAACGACGACTGTTCGATTTTTGGTATATTTCCCTCTAAAACACGAATTATCATGAGTGGTTCAACTTACAAGCCGGCTCAACTTACAAACCCGTACCCCAAACTTTTGCATGTAGCATTCAAAAGACAATACTCAATTTCTTTTTTGGTAGCTGCATTCATAAGTAGAATCGAGACATTTTTCGGGTGAAAATTCATCAAAAGCTTTCTTTGCATCAATTTGCTCAGCATGAACGGCTAAGATATGTTTCAATTGTTTGCCCGGTGTATGTTCTTCGGATTTAATTAAGTCCTGGATTTCACGTTTTATCAGAATAATATTAACGCGAACTCATTGAATCACTTTTGGCTCTCTAAACAGCGAAAGGACGATAGAAAAATACAAATTTTTCGAGCATTAAGTTACAAATTTACGGTCAGTATTCATTTCTACACAGAATTCAGATCAAGCGAAGGGAGAGAAAGAGAGAGAGAGAGAGAGAGAATCAAAGAAGAACAAGGGAAAACCTCATTGTGTTTGCAGTGAAGCGATTACTTTCCACCGAGCTATACTACCGCATCTTTGGATGCCGAACGTGGATGCGATACAACATTCACGTTGTACGAGATGATTCATAAAAACGTATATTTTCCATGTGCATGCTTGAATGCCGCTCAGTTCCTTGTTATCATTCAATATGAACAGTTCACTCGACGCTGCTCGTCGCTCCAAAATTGCTGTTGTCACAACACGACGTTGAACACAACGTTGAAGCCAATCAAAATAATCGAAATATATTCAACAATTTCATTCAATTGATGTGCAAATTAATACCGAAAATCGAACGTGTTTCAAATTCGTATCCAATGTGTATACGGTTTTAGTTCGATTTAAAGAGAAATTTCGCAAATATGTTGGTATTTTGTCAGTAAGATTGGTCGCGCCGATTTAATTAATAAGTTTGAATCGAATGTTCGAAATAATTTATCAAACAAATTTGATTAAATATCGAAAAAGTGGAAAATATTGAGTGTAAAATCGAGCCGAACACAAACAAGAGCAACAAGCTCCGGTTAACATAGGCCGGTTTTGAACAGACACAAACCCTATTTTTAATGGCCATACTACAATCGTGCTGTTTCTGGAAGTCGTTGCGGAACGGAGCGTACGCCAGTGCGGTTTACACATTCGTATGTATTTCAATAGGGATAGAGTGAATTGTGCTTTTTTTTAGTTCAATTCGTTTCGGTGAAATTACCATTTATCTGACATCAATTAAGGCTTTCATTCCGCTATCGTTGAAAATTACCAATTATCCAATCAAATCGGAAAATAACTAAAGTATAGGAAACAGTTTATCGACTGACTCCAACACACTTAATCCTCTTTCTATCTCATTTTACTTTTATTCATTTTTATTTTTATTTGGTTGTCGTTTTTTAGCACTACATGAAATGTAGAGCTACTAATCTGCTTCTTTTTTTTTCTAGATACTTTTTGAGTGTTGAAACAAATTATGGTGTATTTGATTTTTATGCTCATATTTTTTATTTAATTTGAAACAGTGGCAGTAACGACAAATAAGTGCATAATATCTCAAAGCGCCAATCAAATTTTTATTATCAAATGTTGTGCAAAAATTACATTAATTTTTCGTATAATATTTTCTGAGTCTTGACCAGAATTAAAGTGATTTTAGATTCTATGCTCATATTTTTTATTTAATTTAAACCAAAGGCAATATATTTCAAAAAAGAAATAAAACCAAGATCTTGTAATTCATTTTGCAAATAAATATATTACTTCAAAGTTACTTTGATGAAATACATTTCATGTAGTGCGCCAAAAAATAGTTTATTGTTAAACAACAAAATAGATTAAGTAACTAAAAACTCAAGAACGCAGAGCGGAGCGGAGCGAAGCGAAGCTCTACGGTCTTGTTTTTCTCTCTCTCTCTCTCCCTCTCTCTCTCTCTCTCTCTCTCTCTCGCTCAAATCGATTGTTTGCTGGTTGTGGGAACATTGCCAAAACAGCAGAAACAAAAATTTAAGCATTTCCATTTTTATACAATTTGCTTTTTTATTGATGGTATGGTATTTTGGTGGAAATTTATTGATGTTCTCGGAATGTTAAATGTCTGCAGCGCAACAGAATAGTACTATTGCTTCGATGCATGTACAACGATATAGCCAAATCCACAGACAGCCTTTGTTTTTACTCTTTTCTTCATACGTGGCGCTTTTTTTCCTTTCTTCTGCATTTTCGCTCAGTCTCTCCCAACTGTGTTAGCGTTCAATCCAGACAAATAGATTCAATTTTGTCAAGTCTGTGACTTGTGAGAATGAACTTCGTGGAAATGAAATCGAGTGAGAGAAGAAAAAAAAAACACAAAAATACACATACGCATTTTCCAATCGACAACAAAAAATAAACAATTGAAAAGAGAAATCGAGAGAAATAGAGAGAAAAAGTGTGTGTGTGTGTGTGAGAAATGAGCAAATAAAAAAAAGAACACGCGCCACGAAATGTGTTCACATAAATTCAAGCTGGTGTACATTTGCCCGTTCTATATTCGATAAATAATCGATGCTATTCAATTGCATTCCATATTATTATTGAGACTTTTGGGCTATTGCAACTGGCATTTTATTTGGGAAATATTCTCCATTGATTTCGGGTATTGTTTGGTCGCTGTCAAATCGACCATGCTCTCTCTCTCTCTCTCCTTTTTTTCGCGATCGGTCTCGTGCACTCGACCAACTACCATGTCATTTATTGGCTAGTTTTACAGTGAGCTGATGGCGTTCCATTATCGCCGCTGTTATGTTCACAATAAACAATCCGTAACTTCTGTTAATGATGTTGATGTGCAATGAATCGCGACACTAACTTGATTGCATTCTATAATTAGTTCAAGATAATTGTAAAGCATGAATACAACGAACTTGAGATTGCAACAAAATCAAAGACAGCAGAAAATTCCACTCTGCAAACATCGAACGCTTACGGCCAAATGTCACAAGATTTATGATTTGCTAAATTAGCTGACAAAAAAACGAACTCAATCTATCGTTAGGTAAATGCTGGCTGGTATCGCCAACTTTTAATCTAGAATATCGGATAAAAATTCAGAATTTCGGTAGAAAATTGCAAATTCACCTTTACTATTTAAAATAAAAACGCTAGAAATAAGATGCTTAAAAAACACATCATGCTTTTAAATCCCCGCTATTTGGGTTTTTAGCTCCAAATAAAGAAAAATGGCACGACCTGTTTCTAATCGCAAAAAAACGAAATTTTGATGAACAAGCGCTTTATGGCTGTTTTCATGTCATTCATGTCAAACATGTGCTGAGCATTTATTGTTTGATGTTTGATATTTCCACTGTGGGTTGTATAAAAAAAACATTATGGCATTTCGCTTATTCACACATTTCATCTCATGTCACACTCTCATGTTTTTTTATATCACCTTTACATTTAAAATTGACCACCCTTCAAAAATAATGTGAAACATTTTTTTTCTCCATCATTTGATTGAAATTACAACCATATTTGGAGCTTGAATATTCAAGCTCCCCAGGGGGTGGTTTGTAGAGTGGCGCCTGTATTTTCGATCAATGTTTTACATTATTTTTGAAGAGTGGCCGATTTTAACTCATATTAAATAACATTGAGTACATTTGATCGAATTTCAACATGGAATTTTTCATGATCTATTGTTCAAAATCATTGAGAATTTAATTGAATTTGTGAAATTCGAAGGGAAAAAATGTCATCTCTGCACTCACCATTGTGGCACATTAAATATTTTTTGGACATTTCAAATGGAAACTATTCAACAAAAATCGTTCATTGCAATAAAATCATTTAATATTTGAATATTTGAACATTCCATTTGCGACAAGTTTTTCTAGTTCTTGAATGTTCTCGGAACTTTTCATGTCGACTTCATATTTCCCTCGCACCAACTGTCACAGTGACACCCTCCCATATATGCTGCCGCTGTTGTTGTCAACGAAATAAAGTGGCACACAATTTATTTTATCGCTTTTTCTGTTTGCTGTAGATTGATTCATAGTAAGTTGATTCCATGTCCAGATAAAATGGACAGAAGCTAATAAATTACCGCATTGGAATTTCGATGTTGAAAAAATTCCACGAATATTATGTAACTGAATAATTAATCATTTTAGCCTGACAACGAATGATGACAATGGCGGTTAGAAGAAGCGGCAAGTTACTGTAACAAGCCAATTTGCATTTGACCCAAATTTTAAATCTGATTTCTGATCTGACAATCGAATTTGCGTTGATTTCGCGTATTTGATAGCGCTGATAAAAAAAAATTGGTGGTTGTCTACGCAATTAATAATGTTAACCTAATAAACAGGGCATCGTGAAATATTTCAAATATTCAAACTCTTTTTACATTTTACTCCTCCATCAACTTCAAAATCAATACATTCGGTAAGCTTGCGAAATCCCTAATGAACGATCAAACAACCAACTTGAAAAAAAATTCCATTCTAATCGATGGGTAGTAAACGAACCGAATGCAAAACAGTAGCATAAAAAGTCAACGCAAACAAAGAATGTTTTGTGGTGGAAAAAGCACACGAGATAAAAAATGAAGCAACAAAATTATGAGTAAATAAAATCAGTCATAACATTCAACGAATTATTTACTTTATTGCTCTCAATCCCAAAATGTTAAATGACAAACAATAATAGATAAATGAAGTAAATTTCATTTTTATTGAGCTCCTTGCTATGTGATGGTGTGACATCATATATGCCGGCTAAAACTGGCAATGTTTTGCATCTCTCGCACGATCCAGCTAGTTATGGTATGCTTTTAGCATGTTGCCGAAGCGATAAAATTGTGAATTCAAGAGTCAATAAATCTAATGATGACGATAATTTATTTTATATATCGTCTCTCTCTCTCCCACTCTCTCCTTCCGTTTTGGCTGGCTTCTTTTCCCACTCGGTGCTTTGTCGGTATGCGAATCCATTGACTGAGGGTGCACCGAGAAAAAAAATCGTCTAAAAGCTTAGGGCAAACAAGCTCGCCGTATCATATACCACAAGGCGGACACAAAAGCGCCATAAATACAAGTTAACGAGTAAGCAGACCGAATGGGCAACAGACGATAATTATCGTTGGAATCCTTACAGACGATGTCCGTTGCGATACAGATTTGTCGGCATTTTCGACTCTTTGTTGCTTGTTTTGATTTCGCATTTCGGCTTTAAAAGCTTTTTTTTCCCTTTTGCTCATTTATAATCGTCAAAATCACTTTCGCCATACATATATTTTTTCCTTGTCGAAAATTCTACACACACACACACACACACACACACACACACACACACACAGCCAGACCGGTACAGTAAGTTTTAAAGGAGAAAAAGAAGAAGATGAGGGAAAAAAAGGAAAAAAAGGAAAAAAGTCGTTCGTCCATTCACAAATCTTGAGTTCACCACCAAAAATGCTTATTTCCAGTTTGATCTCGCGAACAATGAGTATTTCGTCACAACTTTATTGATGTGTATGCCCCGCGAGAAGAAAGCATGCAAACAAAAAGAAGCAAAAAACATGCGTAACAATAATGCCGAACGATACAACGATGGCAGATATATGTTTTCGATCAAACTCTTTTCTAAATAATAAAAAGATTTATGCCATGTTTATGTTCTCGATTCCGTGCATTTTGTGTATGAATAAGCGGTTTCCATCAATTCAATGAATCAAGTGAAACAGAGAAAAACTCATCGCTCTTCTTTAAACACTCCAGAACAAGCGAACGAAAGTGATTGGTACTACATGGCAACGATATGCTACGTTCGTAAATTTCAAGCCACGTTCGATAGTGCTGTTGTTTGTTTTCATACCGCTGGCATATGATCCATTTCAATTTTTGACCATTAAATAGTTTTGAAATGCGCAAATAGAAATGAGCATTCAGATTGAATTTATTGAATTTCTACTTGTGGTTGCGTGCGCAACCCAGCTAAAGAAAAATCCCACTACTAGCTAGTTGTATTTACTTGTGTTCACAAAGTGCACTCACTTTTCGGGAAATTATTCATTGAACAATACACTTATGCTTCCTTCACTCCTCTTTGACATAAATTAGCTCAATATAGCCATGGGCGAACCACGACAAAAGCATTCCCACCACTC